ACGCGGGCTGGCGGCAGCCTGCGAGGACGCTCGCTCCCTTGGCCTTCGCTGCCCCGGGTGTTAATTTCACGATGTTTTCTTGGGAACCCGAGCCGGCGGGAACAGAGCGGCATTCACGCCGGCTTTATTCTAAGCTGATTTTGCTGATAAATGTACGATCGTTTCCAGGCCCATTAACCTTTGACCTCGGGAGCCCTGCTTCTGCAAGGCATAAGCAAGGTCAAAGATCATTTAGTTCAAGGAAAACCTGAAAACCATTCTTGCCAAGACCAGGCGAGCAGCAAGGGAAATCATTGACAATCTCAAACGAGAATTTTGTGCCTTCTGTGCTCGCCCCTGAGGTATGTCGTGAGACGGGGGGGCAGTTGTCTGGGGAAACGGCCGGGTGTGCGGCTGAGCTGGATGGCCCCGTTGCTGATCCCCACACCCCGCAGAGGCAGCCTGCCGCCCCGAGCCCGTGTTGTCCCCAGCCCTGCCAGCTCTGGGCACGGGCAGGCTGAGAGGTCCCCGCTGGGGTGCTCTTGGCTGGGCCTTGGGGAAGTGGCTGCAGGGCTGTACAGGAGTCAGCACGTTAACCTGGGCCTCCAGGCCACACGCTGTTTTGGGGTGATGTCCTGCCCCTTGGGGCTCATCGTGGAGTTCGCTGCCACCTCCTGTTTGACTCAGTGTAACGCCCTATGAAGGTGCTTTGTCCTTCTGCCTGGGCACTACACGGGACAGGGCTGGAGTCATGGATTCGAGGTGTTGAGCAGCAAGATGGGGACTCCGTGAGCAGCACCCCTCTGCTGAGGTCTTTCCCCTTTGTGGGTAGAGCATTGCATTGCTGAGCAGCTTCAGAGCTGCTGTGATGGGCTTGAAAGGGCACCGTATGTTTTCCAAAGCCTTTGGGAGCCCAGCGGGGTGTGTTGGGCAAGAGGACATTAGATTTGCAAAGAGATAGTTTAGTTCAGAAATTCTTTAGGCAGTGGGAAAATTCACACGCTGCAGCTAAATGGCCTTTGGATCTAATGACATTACTTAAAAACATTTTAAATGAACAAAAACATAAGGCGAAGGTGAACCTCCTCGGGAGGTGGAACACTTCGGTATAACAAGTGCCATGGCCTCCACAAAATCCCTGAAAACGGACAGCACCCTTTCAGCTAGTTCAGAAACCAGGGGAACTGGAGAATGATACAACTAATTGAAGATTTCTGGGGTGTCTATGGCAAGTTGTGCCCATGGGATTAAAAAAAGGCAGACACTAATTACAGGCAGAATTACTGAGCCTGGGCTGCAGCACAGTCCTCAGCGAGTATTTTCTGAGGTCACACATGAGAGATACTATGAGCAAGCCTTTCTGCAAAAGCCGTCAGTGAGTTGTTTAGTCTATGTGTTAATTAATGAAGTACTTCACAGAAGTACTGCAGGAGCTTGAGGTCCAGTGGCAGCAAAGTCTTACAGGCACACCATCAGCCAGAATTAGGAAACACGTCTTGGTTGGATCCTCCCTGTGTAATCCTTGTTCCTAATTCTGTGACTTGTGCAGATGAAGCTGATCTCTTGCCTTCAGCATTCCTGAGAGTCTTTTTCTCATCTG